TGGCGGCCGGCATGCTGGCCATGTTCGCGGGGGCAGAGGTCGTGCACAGGTACTACAGGCCTGACCTTGTAAGTGCTGAGAGGCTCCCAGTCGCTGGTAGGGTGTGTGCGGGATGGAGGGTGTGCTGGAGAGGCTGTACCTCGGGGAGCTCTCTGGCCTGGCGGTGGGCAGAGATCAGCCTCTACAGAGGCATTGGCCAGGCCGCCAGGATTTCATTGTGGCCGGTTCTGGGCTCCTCAGTACGAGAAAGACAAGGAGCTGCTGGAGCGGGTCCAGTGAAGGGTCACGAAGATGATGCAGGGTCTGCGGCGTCTCTTGGGAGAGACGATTGAGAGGGGATCTCATTAATGCTTATAAATACCTCAGAGGTGGGTGCCAGGAGAGTGGTGCCAGACTGTTTTCAGTGGTGACCAGCGACAGGGTGAGGAGCAAGGGCCATAAACTAAACCATAAGGAGTTCCACCTTAATATGAGGAAGAACTTCTTTCCATTGAGGATGGTAGAGCACTGGAACAGCCTGTCCATGGAGGTCATGGAGGCGCCCTCCCTAGATACATTCCAACCCACCTGAACACATTCGTGTGTGATCTGCTCTAGGTGACCCTTCTTGAAAGGGGGCTAGGACTGGATGATCTCCAGAGGATGATCTTCCAACTCTTAACAATGCTGTGACTGTGACACTGTGGACATAATACCACATGTCGAGAAGGGGTCTCTGCTGTGGGAAGCTGGGTTTTGAAAAGTGTGTGCAAAAGTGGCAAGAAGGGGCTGTACTAGATTTAAAATAGACTTTACTTCCTCCAGTAATAGAAATGAAGGTGACCAAAAGTTAACATTAGAAATTATGACAGATGAGGATGTAAAAATGGCAGTAACAGAATTAAACTCTAAATGAGATCATCCTCTAGGAATAGTAATAGTTTAGTTTAGCCTCCTGGAGGTCTGACTTGAAAGCTTTCTCTCATCCTCCTGCTCACATATTCTTCTTGGGTTTTTTAATTCTCTGGGCTACTTTCAAATGGGAAACAAGTTTAAAAAATTACCATGCTTGAGCTGTCAGCTCAAAATTGAAGCAATGATGCTTCAGTCATTGATAAATACATCAGAATCTCTGTGTTTTAGTAGTCTCTACTGTAGCCTTCATTACTGGCAAATCAACATATTTATTCAGAATGATCAAATTATCTATATCTCTTAAGTAGCATGAATTTTGAAGAGGTGCAGTTCTTGAAATGTCATGTTATCTGGTACTTTTTTAAAATTTTAACTCTAGTTTCAGTGCCTTATTTCTAAATCAGGGCAGTAGAAGCAGTGAAACATTTTCTTCTATCACCAAGTATGTGAGGAAACTTCAGCTGTGCTAGAATTCTGATGTATTTATCAACTGTCTTTAGCAAACTCACTTTAATGGCAAAAATAAGCTTTGCTCCTTTAAAACAAACTGTCTGTTCTTCCTTTTATCTTGTTTTTTTTTTCCCAAATTGTATTTTGCTACTATAAAATAAGTCAAGTTTCAAAAAGGTAATAATTCTTCAGGTGTTTTGCATGTAGGAATTATATTCTGCTCAGAAAAGAGGGTGGTAAAATCACAGTTTAGCTGTCATGCTCTTGCAGAGTAAGCTCATTTACTGTTTTGGGAGTTTAGTTTTTCCTCTGCCACAACACTGATGTCTTTCTCTGTTTTTAATAGAGCATACCTGAAATACCTCCTAAGCCTGGAGAACTGAGAACTGAACTGTTGGGTCTAAAAGAAAGATCAAGCGAAGTTCAGACGCCACAACACTGACCAGAGTTTATTTTTGTTGTGAAAACTAGAACTGATAAAATATTTATCCAACTGTTTAAGTTCCAGAAATACATATGTGAAATACTGTGCTCCTGTCATGCATGTGTCTTTGCTTTCCTTTGAGCAGAGTTGCAGGCAGCAATAAAAACAAACATACAGTGAATGGTGTCCCATCAGTTGTGTGCCAAAATGCTTGTGAGTTCATAAATCTGGATTACATTTTAAGTATACTTCAGAATAAGACATCAAACCATGACACAGATGTATCACTGACAGGAAATCTGCTTTGGTCCACTGTAAGGCTGGAATCTTACCATTTGGTCATTCAGTTAAAATGGGGCAGATTACACTGAGATCAGATTTGTTTTTGCTCCATTTGGGCATCTTCATCTGTCTATGGTTGCTTTTGATAGCTGTAAATATGCAAAACTCTGAAATAGAAAGTGCAGGTTTATCAATGACTGAAGCAGCATTGCTTTCAGTTTGGAAATAGAATCACCACAATACTCTTGCACCAGGAACTTTACGATTCAGTCACCATCCTGTGAAGGTGGCTCAACAACCCAGTTTTGAATGGTACATAGAGCTTGGGAAGTTTGGGATTGTTTTACTTGAGAAAGGTGCCAGGACAAAGCACAGACTTCATCCTCAGTTGTCCCTTAAGTTTAACATGTAAAAACACAGTCTGACACATTACCCGGTAAGGAAACAAAAAAGCTCCCTAATTCCTACTGCCAAAGTACTTGGAAGTCTTGTAAAAGCAGAGGGATCCAGAAATTATCACAGAAAGTGCTACATTTACATCAGTTCTTGCTATGAAGCTATTATTTTATTTGTGCCTATGGCAGCTGGAGTGTTTTCCTAGGAAAAAAGGTTTATAGTTCTTATGCATGTGTATGTGTCTGCTCTCACCAAGTTTTACAGCTATTGGTGGGATGAGCTCCCCTCCTGCTCTTGTATGCCCATGTGTGCACTTTTTAAATAACTAAATCACATCCTCTCAGGCATCTTTATTAATGACAGCAGGCAGTGAGAGAAAGGCTCTGGTAAAACACAGATGTTAAGCCCAAACAAAATCTATCAATGAAAAAATCTTAATAGATCGACTTCCAGTGAAAAGACTTTTTCCTTTACTGCACCTAAACAAAGCTGAGATTGTTAGCCTTCTAGTTCAGCAGAAGATAAAGTTTATTGGAGAGAAAATGAGACAGTTCAGTATTTTGTTTCTGTTCTAACTGGGGCATGAACAGCAGTTTTTTGATGACCCTTTTAACAAGCCAGCATTCACCAGCCCTCGCACTTTGTCAGATTATCACCTCTTATGTTGTTGATTTCTGACATGCAAGATGCATTTTTCTCTATTTTCTAAAGGTTTTCCAGATCTTAAGGCTGCAGAGGGAAGCTTCTACTAATTAGGCTAGGATTTCTAAGTGTATCCTGCTGCTACTAGAAACTGAGCAACAGGAAGCTCTGCCTTTTCTAGCACTGAGGGAAATGTCCTCATTAGTGCCCATCTCAGAATTGCAAAGCTGACAATGCACCAAGTTTCAACAGCAGAGGTGACAGCCCCAGAATCAGCATAACTGCAGCACTGAAAGAAACAGTGCTGAGTGACACTTCCACTACTGCCACCATTTTGCTTCAGAGCTGACAAAAAAAAAAAAAAAAAAAAAGGCAACTTAGAAGTGATTGTGCTTATTAATAGAAAACACTTGTCACAGCAGCTTGTAGAGAAAGCCGCTGGACCACAGCTATGTTGCACATGATATTCTCAGCTGGAGTATATGAAGAAGCAGAAAGCATAACTCTCAAGTATGCTCTTTATTATTTCTGAAATTTAATCAGTTTTATCACCCTCAAACCAACCAAAGCAATGAGAATTTCAGCTATACAACAGAACTAGGTTTGCTTAAATCTCCAAGTAACTTACAGATTAAAAATACTGGAGGCCACCCTTCCCCTTTAGTTTGTTAGGCAAACTAAACTTCCGAATCATACAGGAGGTGGGAGCAACCTTTGTTAACTCAGATGTCAAATGGAGAGATGTAGGTAGCAATGATACATTTCTGAGTGTATCACTGAAAATAAGTGATACTTTAGGAGGTTGATTGCTACAGAGCACAAAGTTTCACTCCTAAAGTAAGGGGATAGGCCCTTTCTGCCCTTTAGTAACAGTGCTAAAGGCTGCTTCTAAAACTGACAGTGCCAGCTGCTGAAACTCGTGTTAGACCACTCAGGCCGGGCCAGTAACAAAAAGGCTTTTGTCTAGGATACCACTGCAGTGAGAAGAAACCAGAGCCCCCCACCC